CTGCAATTCAGTCCTCCTATTGAGACTCCACACTTCAGGGTTTTCAGCTCCTGGTGCACGTCGTTTGTTGCGAGCTAGTAACACATCAGGGAAAGGACGCCCCCTTGGTTAACTCCTCTCGTTGTTGTGAACTCTCTTGAGTGTCTTCCATTCAGTAAAACTGTGTATCTATTTCCTGTGTGCATTGCTTTGAGGAGCCTCCACATTCTCCCATTCGTCCCTTCTTTGAAGATTTTATATAGCATTCCATCAAGCCACACAGTATCGAATGCTTTCCTTGTGTCCAGGAAACATCCATACACTCTGCTTCCTCTCTCGTTGTAGTGACTCAGGACTTCCTGTACAATAAAAGCTGTTGTCACATTGCTGCACCCCTTTTGACCTCCGCTTTGTAGTTGGTGTGGTAGACCATGTGACTGTAGCCAAGGCTTCCATCTCTCAAACAGGACTTTCTCCCACACTTTTGCCATGCAGGGGAGCAGAGTAACCCCTCTGTGTGCATCAAAGTCTGTCTTGTCTGTCTTCCCCTGTTTTAGTAGTGGGATTTTGACCCCTCTCTTGAAGGCTTCAGGAATGTGTTCTTCTTCTCTCATCATGTTAAAGAGGTTTGTCAGCCTGACCCACAGCGGCTCTCCACCATATTTCATGTGTTCGTACGTCAGACCGTCCTTGCCGGCACTCTTGCCATTCTTCAGTTTCATGCACACTGAAGCTACCTCTGCTACAGTGAAGGGTTCTGCTAGAATGCTGTCGTTGTTCTTGTAGCTCTCTCTGGTCATCTTTTCTACCTCAGCTGCTATCATTCATTCATTCATTCATTCATTCATTCATTCATTCATTCATTCATTCATTCATTCATGGTGGGGTCGTGTGGCGTAACGGTAGATTGTTCGGCCCAGACCCAAGAGGTCCCCGGTTCGAAGGAGAGGGATGGGCTCAGCCTTCCAATACCGTGCCCTAGACACAGTGGATTAACAACCCACTGCCTCTACAGACCTAATAGGGCCACAGGACCTTTACCTTACCTTTATCTCATTCATTCATTCATTCATTCATGCAACCTTTCATTCATTCATAAAGCCGCCCTGCCCCGAGAGCGCGTAGGTTTTACAGAGGCGAGTGGGTGGAGAGGTGAAGGGCAAGGTTCAGTTATGAGCTAGTTTCAGCATGAATGAATGTAGTCGGGGCGTTTTGAAGGTGTGCCCGTCTTCGCTTGTTTGCGCAGAGTTTAAAGAAACGCGGACGGATATGCAAAAACAAAAGCCAACTGCTTGCCGGTTGGACTGGGGTATTTGGTAGTCAGGGTGTTCTTAGAATCCCTAGACCTTCATTTTTAATTCAGTTTGATGTTTAGCCAGGCTTCCGTGGGTTGGTGCTTCGGTAGTCAAACTAAAGCTGGAAGGTGAAGGAAAGGAGGGTGTCAGCAGCACCAGATCTCTTCAAAAAAGCTATATATCTATGCTGGACCCTGATCACCCTCTTCACGACCTTGTTCCCCCTGAACGTGCGACTGCCACAGGGAGACAGCTCAGGAACAGCAACACCTTGCCAAAAGCCAGGACTCCAGGACAAGTATTTTTTACACTGTGCTGTAAGACTGTAAAACGACAATGTTAACGGTTAATAATGATAACCCACGACTGTCCTTTATTTGTTTCTTCAAAATTTCAATTCGTATCTTCAAGTCCGATCGCCCTACGATCGCAACCTAAAGACATTCAGGAGATAGCCGTGCACGTAACGTGGTATACATTCATCTATCTTTGTAAAAAAAACGCTGTCTTTCATCCTTGTTGGCGGTTAGTTCTGTCACAGACTGCTGGAAAATTATACATCACATCAAAACCGTGCCTGCTACGAATGTGACCGCACCGTAATTTTCCCGGCACTGGTGATCAAGCACTAAATAGCTAGAACCAGCCTGCGATACTAAACATGCATGTGTCGTCCAAAAGTCAGCTGTCTTCTTCCGGAGAGTTACAAAGATCGACCCAGCTTTACCCATTTGTTACTTCAATATTTCAATTCGTATCTTCATGTCTTGAGTTAGCCGTGCATGTATCGTGCTACATTCATCTGTCTTTCTACAGAAATGCTGTCTTTCATCCTTGTTGGCGGTTAGTTCTGTCACAGCCTGCTGCAAATTATACATCACATCAAAACCGTGCCGCGGCCTGCTACGAATATGACCGCACCGTAATTTTCCCTGCATCGGTGATCAAGCACTAAATAGCTAGAACCAGCCTGCGATACGAAACAAGCATGTGTCGTCCAAAAGTCAGCTGTCTTCTTCCGGAGAGTTACAAAGATCGACCCAGCTTTACCCATTTGTTGCTTCAATATATTTCAATTCGTATCTTCATGTCTTGAGTTAGCCGTGCATGTGTCGCTCTAAATTCAGCTGTCAGGTCACCCTCTCTCCCACCTTGGGCAGTTCCAGATCCAAAATCCTGACTCTGCCCCTACCCCCTTACTGAACTTAAGATACGGGACAGACTAGCAACACCTCTACATGATTACTCATTCCTGGTATGCAGCCTCACCTACAGGCGACATAGTCTTCACGATGATGGAGGCGGTCTCTTCAATGGAAAGAAGAAGAAAGAATGATGCTTGAAAATTATACATCAAAATCATGCCGCGGCCTGCTACGAATGTGACCGCACCGTAATTCTCCCTACACTGGTGATCAATTCTGACACCATTGCCGCGAGGAAGCCCTTCGCTCGATCTGCAGCGCTGATGCCCCACTTCCAACTCACTTTGTTGGTAGATAATGAACTGACATTTCCAGCACGCTAGGAAGAGGCGGTCGTGTGGATGTGGCGAACATTGATTTTACTCCATTATGGATCAGATGGGTGACGAGATTCCTTTTGCAACTGGGGCAGTTGTGTCTTTTAAATCATGACCATCGTCTTCTCAAACACGGGACCTCCGACTGTATTTCCCGCCCGAGAAGATTACTCTAACAGAAACTAGCTAGGTACTCATTTTCGCCTGGGTCAAATAGCGAGGAAATATGTGTTGAAAAGTGCCTTTCTCAAGGGCAAACCTTTCTTTGTTCGTCTAGGAGATATTCGAACTCTGAACCCTTAGATTCGAACCCAGATCTTTTAGATTCGAACCCAGTACCTCTAGATTCGAACCCAAACCTTTAGATTCGAACTCAGAACCTTAAGATTCTACGTGCCATCAAATGAGATTAAAGTATAACTGGCAGAGAAGTGGTCTAATGTCTAGCGACCCTGCCTCTTCACCTGGAGGCCGGGTGTTTAAACCCCGTCAATTCAGGTACGATGAACTTTGTTCTCTTTTGAGTAATAAGATAGCCAAAAGGTATCTTACAAGTTATCTACTGCCCGGCTCTGGCTCTCTTACTTACCGCCCTCCAGCTGAGTACCTAGATCTGTATCTGTAGACCTTCTCACGTCGTCAAAGAGTAATTATTTTCTCACCATGGACAATAATGATGTCGATAATGACCAGGGTTGGTTGCCATGCCCCAGTTATGTCTCGTTTGCCCAACAATATCGTCTTCCTCGGCAAATTCGGAAGCTGCGTGCCACTTTCACACACATCTAATTGTCATCTTGTCGATATTTTTAGAGTCACGCATCCTGTAGATGTTCACAGACTGTGCACCGGCTTTGTATGATTGATTTGAGTTTCCCGATCTTGTTTTAACCCTTGTCACATTGAAGTAGCCGTTTGTTTGCCAATTCTCTAGTATTTACTGTGTTAGACAGCATGGACAAGATTGAAGTTGATTCTTTTCTTACCTTAGATCCTCTTTTCTAATAACAAAATAACCATGATTTATGTATTTGCATATATTTTGCATTGCGAGAGTTGTCACATCTTAAGATATATTCGAATTTTGTGGCAGTAATTCTCTTAAAATCTGTTGCAATTCAGCAAAAAAATATGAGTAACTCATTGAAACGTAAATCATCATATATAGAGCACCACACACGAGCACGTGCTGCTTTCCACATGAAATGCTTCCTCCTACATGAAATGCTGAATGAACAGTCCACGCACACACGTGAACAGGATGAGGGTAAAACATTAGCCTTTGAACCATTAAGTAGCGTGATTAACTACATCTATAACAGCATTGAGAGCGGATATCTTCAAACAGAAGCGTAGGTTTGCTCTTTGTACAGCTTTCATGGGCTGACGTCACCACTGGAGGCTCCGGAAATTTGAGCACGATTCTAGTCCCTAGTTCATATCTTTGAACATCTTCCATTTCTTGAACATTTTGGTCCAGATACGGATACTTTTGAGCTAGGAGTAGGGTCTATAAACTTTCCTGCTTTGGTAAGTTTTGTTCGTTTTACTAGTTTAGTGGGCGTAATGACAGATCTGATGGTGTTAATGATTGTGGAAGAGATGGAGATGGGTGAGGAACGGTTGAGAATGGGTGTGGAACGGTTGGGAATTGGTGTGGAACGGTTGGGAATTGGTGTGGTAGGGTTGGGAATGAGTGTGAAAAAGTTGCAAATGGGCGCAGAAGTGTTGGAAATGGCCTGTAGAAGGTTAACTGGGCTCTGCTTTTGTACTCGTGTATGTATATTATTTTTACGCTAATCTACTGCTGGCAAATGGATACTACCTTACTAATAATTGATTCTGTCTTTGCAGCCAGGAGGAAATGTCAGCACGGTATCTTTTTATGCCAGTCTAACGGGTGTCAAATTTATTTATTTGTTTATTACAATTTTCCATTTATACATGGAAGGCATGGTAGAACAGGTGGACATAAGGACACCCTGTGAGCCACCATGCCGACATGGCCATACAGTGCATAAGAATACTGTACAACATTTTATACATGGCATTACATTTAATTAAATGAATATATTGAGAACACTTGACGAGGCCTAGTAGCGCGGCAGGTGGTACAGCCACAAGACAGTATCCATGAACAAGGCAAATGGTAACTGTCTGACAAATTTTTTACAGTCTTTGCAGCCACCAGAACATCTACCTGCATGGAGGAGCTAAGCCGTGCCCTGCAGCGGGCAGGCAGGATGAACGCGAGCTGGGCGGACCTGGTCCCTGCGCCTCAGTGGGACGCCGCCGACCTCCTCTTCACCTACACACTCCCCACCTCCATCGCGCTCATCGTCCTGTACGCCGCCATCTTCCTGGTCGGGTTCGCGGGGAACGTCGTGGTGCTGGCGCTGCTGATGAAGAGACGCCGCATGGACAAGGTCAGACAACTTCTGTTCTCTCTTTCTTTGCCCTCCTCCCTTCCTTGCTCTTTGTCCTTCCTTCCTTCCTTCCTTCCTTCCTTCCTTCCTTCCTTACGTCTATTTCCTCATTTCTAGCCACTTTCCTTCCTTCCTTCATTCCTTCCTATTTTCATTTTAACTTGTTATTCCTTCCTTCTTCCTTTCTGTCCTTTTTTACTTTCTACCTTCTTTCCTATTTTCATCCTTAGCTTTTGATTACTTCCTCCCTCCTTCATTCATTCCTCCCTCCCTCCTTCCTTCATTTCTTCCATTCTTCCTTCCTTCCTTCCACATGCATATCCATTGATCTATTTTCTTTTTCTTTCGTTCTCTCGTCAATACATTGTCCTCCTTTTGTCTCCATTCACTCTCTCACTCATCCATTCATCTACGTTCTCTATCCTCTCCCCCAGGTGGCTAACGCCTTCATGCTGAACCTGGCAGTCTGTGACCTGCTGGTGATCTGCCTGTGCGTGCCGATCAACCTGGGCATGGAGGTGTACCAGAGTTACGTGTACGGCCCGGTGCTGTGTAAGTCCCTGCCGTACGTCCAGGCTGTTGTTGTCTCCACCAGTGTGCTGACTCTCACCGTGGTCAGCCTGGACCGATACATGGCCATCTGCTACCCGCTACGTGCCAAGGTAGGCAGCGTTCTAGTATTGTTCAACAATCTCCAAGTGTTACTGTTTATCATATCCGTGAAATGGGGGTATGGTTTTTGGTCTGTTTCAAGGTAAAACCTTTGTTCCAACACAAAAGGTAAAGGTTATCACCTAGAGCTTTCGATAAGTCACCGATCAATCAGTCATCAGTGACCCAGTGAGTCTTGTCACGTGACCATATGCTACCCTCTACGTGCCAAGGTAGGCATTTAAGTGATCTTCAAGCAGATTCTGTGGAGCAATCATCGGGAGTCTATATTGGTTGCCTGTTTCCTTTGGCCTCCTGTAATCATACATAAATATTGCATTGACCAGCCAATGGTTACAGGAGGCCAATATAGACTCCCCTTGCCACATAGAATCTGCTTGAAGATTAAAGTTTTAGTAGTGTTCGTTACCTCCGCGAAAAACGGAGGTATTGTTTTTGGTCTCTTTAAACATTTTTGTTCCAACACATAAGGTAGAAGTTCTCACTTCGACCCACCTAGAGCTTTCAACCAGTCGCTCTGGTTGTCTTCAGTAGACTGACCCAATGAGGCTTGCCACGTGGCTTCTCTGAAGTGTGACGTCAACACTGGGTCCAATGTACCTTGTAAACGATGCCGGCCCAAAGGCCTGAAGGGTGATGGGCCCTGATCATGATGTACATAGCCTCAACGTGTAACTACCAACACAGATGAACTTTCATGATTGTTTTTGGTCTGTCTGTGTGTCTGTGTGTCTGTGTGTCTGTGTGTTGAGGAAGATGATGATGATTGCCAGAAGTCCGACTTAGGGAGCAGAGATGCTTCTGCAGTGCACGTGAGTGTTAGTTCATTGCCCAGAATTGGCCCTTGTAGCTTTGCTCTATAAAACTCGTTAAAACGATCTCCGATGTCTTGTCCGCAGGTGCTGTCCACCAAGAGCCGCGTGCGTCGCGCCGTGCTGGCCACCTGGCTGTTCTCGGCTGTCATCATGCTGCCCATCGCCATCTTCAGCGAGATAGAGGTCAAGAACATCATCTACCCCGTGCAGGTGGACGTGGTGCTGTGCTCGGAGAAGGTACTTGACTCACTTATGCCAGGTGCCAGTCCTCCTCCGCCACCCAAACGACAATAGCTGCCCAGTAGCTCCTGTCCTGCATAGCCTTCTCCATGCAATCAGCATAAAGACCGGTGTCCCTTTGCAACACATCTAAGTAGGCAAGGAGCGGTCTTACAGGCTTCCCTGTGCTGAAGACCATGTAGTACTAGCCTGGAGACTATTTCCTTGCTGTTTCTCAGAGAGGAAACCGGACAAGGTACCTCCATTCCGAAAATAGTTTCATCTGCTTGGTAAAGCATAATATGTAGCCTGGATGCACGCTAAGCCCAGAGTTATTAGCCAGAGTGGGTTAGGGCGCTGTGAGGGGCGCTGTGGTATAATTTCATTGGGAGCATGGAGCCCAGGAACTGGCCTGTGTAGGCCCTGGAAGCAGTCTGGCACCCAGGCTAGCATGTTGGCCCTGGAGCCCAGGGGCTGGCCTGTGTAGGTCCTGGAAACTGTCTGGCATCCAGCCTAAAGCATTACAAAAAATGTCAATTTTGTTTCGAACTGTCATTTCTTACATAACAAAATAAAATGTAAATGGTGAGTCACAGTGCCGTGCCATAAAAGTCAAATTTGGTACAAGGGCAGAGGAAAGGACAGCAAGACTCCTCAGTAGCTTGATTGAACAGCTAAGACTGCTATTTGAAGGTCAGGAGGTTATGTGTGACCATCGCTTATCGTTTTGACCCGGTTGCCCTTAAATGCCCGAGGGCGGAATGGCGTCGGGCGCGCGGTTCGTACCTGAGTATTGAACTTGACATTTCAAATTTATCTTTCTCGACCCCAAAAACACATAACAAATCCAGGAGCTTTGGAAGTTGAATCCACGAGATCGAAAGCATCCAGGAAAAGCATGAGCCACTCCGAGTTGCCATGTGCGTCAAACCTATTTTACGTTGCCATGTGCGTTAAACCCATTCCTCACTCACCCACCCACACAGTCCAGTTAACCTACATGTAACTTGTTAGTTTGCTATCCTCTTACTTACTTGACGTTAATGGTTTCTAGAAATTTCAATTTCAAATTCATTTTCCTCGACCAAAAAAGAAACAAATGCAGGAGCTTTGGAAGTTGAATGCACAAGTGCAAGGGCATTCAGTAGACAGGAACGTTTGAGCCACTTCTAGAAGCCATGTACGTCAAACCCACATTATTCACTGACCTGCACAGCCCAGTTAACCTTATACTTGTTAAGCTAGTACAATCCGTGGCAAATGACAGAATGGGGATAGGGACACGTTTCTTTGGTGGAGAGGGAGGCTAAAATTGAATACAACATTTCAAACTTTATAACTATGAATTCTACCAACACAGATGAGCTTTCATTCAAACATTTCAAATTCATTTTCTGGACCAAAAAAGGACAAAGGGCACGGTTGTTTGGTGGGGGCGTTTGCATTTCAGTTTCATTTTCTGGACCAAAAAAAGCACAAATCCAGGAGGGTTCAATGTTGAATCCACTAGAGCGAGGGCATTCAACGTTCAATATTCAACTCAAGATTTATAACTGTGACTTTTACCAACACAGATGAGCTTTCATTCAAACATTTCAAATTCATTTTCTGGACCAAAACATAACAAATCCAGTCCTGAGCTTTTGACGTTGAATTCATAAGATCGAGTGCATTCACTGTCCAGTTAACCTTCTACTTCTTAAGAACACTCCGTGGCAAACGACAATATGGGGCAGTGACACATTTATTTGGTGGAGGGTAAAATTGAATATAACATTTCAAACTTTATAACTAAGCTCAAACTTCATTTACTATGACTTCTACCAACAAGAAAGGACAGAATGAGCTTTCATTCAAACTTTTCATATTAATTTTCTGCAACAAAACATAACAAATCCAGTAGCTTTGAAAGTTGGATCCACAAATTCAAGGGAATTCAGGAAACGTGAACGTTCTAGCCACTCAACGTCAAACCCACATTGTTCACTGACCCGCGCAGCCCAGTTAACCTTATGCTTGTTATATTAAACCCGCGGGAAAGAACGAAATGGCACGGGGGCACGGTTGGTGGTGGAGAGTAAGATTGAATATGACATTTCAAATCCATTTTTTCCGGGCCAAAAATAAACGCGAACGTTGGAATCAGTTGCCATGTACGTCAAGCTCATATTCAGCGGTTCGCTGAGCTTATATTGCCAAACGACCCGCACAGCTCTGTTGATATGCCTCGTTAGGAAGAAGTTTATTGCACGGCAATTGTACATGGTACAATGTATGGCAACGTCTATTGAACATGGTATAAAAAGAAAAGTGTATAGAATAAGAATTAACGTCCTAATTACTAAACATCAAGAGCTAATACATCATACAATCAAGTAGGGCTAATCACGAGTTTCGGCATTTTTTTCTAATAACAAAACAGTCTTTTATGTATTTACTTATCTTTGCATTGAATATATATGTAAATCTGTGCAAAGCATCGAGTCTGTTGAAATCTATTGTACTAGATACATCCTTCGCCCCCCCCTCGCATGCCCTTGAGGTGTCTTTTTACTCATGAGCTGATGAATTGATGACCTCCTTACATACATCAAACTTAATCACTGATACAGAAACAGAAGATGAAACATCATGCTTAGTACACGATAAAATTTGTCAATTCCACATCGAATACAACAAAGACAATATGTTTCTAACTGAATAGGAAAGTCCTTTATTCACAACTATTTCTTAAATAAATGGCTTTGAATAAAGAAATCTGCTATTCTATCATTCGCCGACCTGATGAAATGATTCAGGAAAAAATGGGTTTTATAAGACTTAATGTCCCCTATCTATGCCCCGACAGACTTTTTCAGATCAGTTTTATTTGGTCATTTCTAAGGCCCTTTTCCCACTAGGATAGAATTGTCCGAATAGATTCACTGTGATTTCGGCTCCATCCGGACAATTCTATTCTATTGGGAAAGGGCATAAAGATTCTATATAGTACGGAAATGGGTTGAACATGCGAATAGGTCCGGAATATCAGATACACGTTCTCCCAAAGCCACTCGCGCCCGAAGGCATGCACAAAAAAGGACGCAATGGCGTCGTGTGCGAGTTTATAGCGAGCGTATCGAATACGGCGTTTCAAATTTCTCTTTTTGAGCAACACACTAAAAGCTTTGAAAAATGGACGCCTTTAGGCGGCGGGTCTCTAGCGAGACGTGGAGCCGGTGTTTTATCCAGAACAGTCGGTGACGTCCGACATTAGCTAACCCCCAGGCATTTCGGCGCCTAGTCTTTCCTCCTCTTGCAATTGTCGGTGTCTATTTCTGGCAAACTGGCCGTCCAGTGTAAAGGCAAACAACAGTTTTTTTTTTTTAATTTTCTTATTCACATGGATTTTTTGAGCATTGGATAGGAAGCACGTATTGTGCTTATGTGAATCCGCTGCTCATAAAACATAATACAAAGGTAATATAATGTATAATAAAGATGACATAAAATATAACATAAACATAAAATGAAAGTGACTGGCGCACCAATACCTATAGCACAGCATTATTTTAATGAGATTGGTCAAATCTTCCAGAGTGATGAATATAGTTAACGTTGAATACAATATCAAAGATACGGCAGTTAGTAGGGTATGGGAGTGAGGGGCTACCTGTAAAGTGCATAATGTGCGTCTGTATCTGTATCTGTATCTGTATCTGTATAGCCGGTATAACCGCCTTTCGGCGTAACACACCAGCTTCATTTGCGTTGAGCATCAGGTTCAACTTCAAAACGGCCAGCAGCTCTAAACTACGATGGACCAGCGAAATAAGTGTAGAAAATCACTTTTCAGATATGTCATACATGATGTAATGACAAGTTTTATTGAACCTCTTGGTCGACTTAAACGTAGGAAAAGACACTAAAGGTACAAGAGATCTTAATAACTCTAAGCCTCCTTTCCCAACTTGTTGCTGAGGTGCAGTAAAGTAAGTAATAATCAGTGTCATCATGAGCGTTGTGAGTGGCTGAAGTCCGTTTTTGTAGTGGTGAAGAGCTTTTTCTTACCATAATAACCCCATCACATAGCAGGAAAATCGTTTTACCGACGAGTCGGCGAGCTCAAATGAGCATTTTCGGCAGTAATAAGCCCCGTAGTCTCGCTATCGTTGCGCTATGTTAAGGGATCGGATGATGTTCGTCGGTCACCCAGTAACGTCTAATTTGACAGGGTAGATTTTCAGTACGCTAGCGCTGTTCACATTGTCATGGCCTACAGCAAAGGTTCTTTAGATGCCGATTTTTTTTTAAATTAGGCGTCTTTTGACGATCAATGAATATACAACGGAAGCGCGTCGACTTTGTGTCATTGGTTCATGGTCCTGGCCACCAAGCCATCTCGGCCACTTTTTGGTTGAATCTTTAGTTAATTACTTTCCCATTCACTTAAACAGTAAGAATCCTGCCTGTAGTAGCCAACTGTATAGTACGTCCATTTTCGTCACTACAGACAAGTCTAACAGGTTTATACCTTTTTTATGACAAGACAGAGGAAGATACAATTTTCCTATGTCTAGATTGTCCCTTGTGTAAAATGAGAGTCTTCATTTCCGCTGAAGTTCTGTATTTCAGCTGAATAATCCTTTAGCTTGCCATTTATCAAGTGGTTTTCTAATAAACGTACTTCGCCTGAGCGCCACGAAGCAGCCATTATAAAAAAAATCAGTTTAATAAACGTCCTTAATAGGTTTCTTATCTCCCTTATTTGATTCATGTCAAGCATAGCCACAAAGAAATAGACTTTCTAGCGTCGACTACTAAGTCTTTCTCATTTAAGAAATGACAACTAATATAAATCTTGAGCAATATAAATCATAAGTTGCAAAAAGTTTAAGGAGTTCCACGTCTCTATGTAACGTTATCTGGATTGCCAAACCTTGAGCATCTTTAAAAAAAGCATCCCACCACTCATACACCAGACCTGTGCTATAAGAATATGAGGTATATGGCTTTTATGTAGAGGTAACGTATTAGTCAAATTTGGGCCCGAAAGTCCCCGAATTTTAGAACCCGAACCCGTGTTCTGCCATGTTCGATTTGGCGTTTTTAGAACAGAACGCGTGTTCCATTTGGGGTCACCTGTTGCACAAAGATCATGTAACTTTTGTAATTTGACTAGAATAGAGGACTAATGCTATTTTGTAACGGAATGTAGACTGTATCGTTATAACAAATATAGAAATGAACTGCATGTGTTTAAACAAAACCTATTTCCCTATTTCATATCATACACATAAGCACTAGAGAAAAAGTCATATTTCTAATGTATGTATTACTTCTGTATCTTTTATTGAAACATGTAGTGACAAGACGTGGTGGCGACACACTCAAGTTACACTTATATTCATGTCGCCACCAGACAATACGTGATACAAGCAAAGCACGAATTAACATATAGAAACTAAAATACAATGATCAATCAAAGAACAAGTGAAACAAATATATAAATATTGACAGAACTCATCAAGATATTACAAAAAACGATTGGATTCTAACAAAAATGTCTGTACATGTAACGTTAGTAATAGTTGAATATTGTACGTTGTGGCAGAATATATATATATATAATATACTTCTGTTTCTCCCCCTCGCAGTGGCCGTCCGCCGCGGGACAGAAGGGGTACGACCTGACTCTGTTCGCGGTGCTCCTGGCACTCCCGCTCGGCACCATGTGCGTCACCTACGGCAAGATCGCCCACAAGCTCTGGCGCCGGGACACCGTGTTCCAGAAGAAACCAGGTTCGTTTCTTACTATATTTCCCGAAGAAAAACATTGTTTTTCCTCAGTTTCTTCCTCTTCTTCTCCAAACAAATAAGGTCAGTGACCTGAACCAGACCGTCTGTCACCATGGTAAGTGGTGTTGGGTTACATCATGTTGCAATTTTATAGAAGGAAAAATTAAGACTCCTGTCTGTTCATGTATATGAATGCGTTTTTGAACTTTGAGTAAGAATTAACAGAGCAGACCATATGCGAAGGTAAACATTATGATTTTGCATTATGAAAGGTGCATTATGTCACATTGTGCCGTCTCACAATCCCACCAAGTGAGTGATTTTCAAAAGGCCTTGGCGCAAACAGAAATCTTAAACCTTGGAGTCAAAAATATCGACAGGAGTTAGTTACACCCTGCGGCCATCATTAAAAAGCTTTTAATCCGATCCGGCGAGATGATAAGAAAATAATTGGACTATCCAATAGTTCTGGTGGTAAAGGAAATTCTACGAAACGGGGTTGACCAAAGTCCAAAATGTAGTACTGTCACGTTGCTTCCCAAACAACTTGGTCGCTTGGCGTCTCAGAACGTTCGAACCAAGTGGTCGCGGGTTCGAATCCTGCCACACCACCGATCTTGCGCCCTTTGGAAAAACGCACGACTTTACACGACTTTCCTCACTTCACTCAGGTGAAATGAGTACTGTATTAAAATGTATTGTCATCTTTTGGTGTTGGCATAAAAATAAGTTGAATAATTGAGTGTGCCGTCAACATGTACTATGCTTAAATGTTGGAATAAAAAAAGATATTGTGTGGGTGGTTTTCAAAAGGCCTTGCACAAATCTTACACTTTGAGTCTAAAATATCAATAGAAGTATGCCCCTGTGGCCATTATAAAAAGGCTTTTGTAGTACTGGAATTAAGTCTTAACTGCATTCAGATGAGCCTACGATTGAGCTCATGAGCAAAATAATTGGACTATCCAATAGTTCTGGTAGTAATTGGCAATTCTACGAAACAGGGTTGACCATGTACCAAAATCCAGAATGCAGCAGTCACGTTGCGTCTCATATGTGGGGTCGGCACAACAAACAATTTACGTAAAGGTTACGTGAGAGTGTGCGTCTCAGAACCAAGAGGTCCCGGGTTCGAACCCTGCCATGCAACCGATCTTGTGCCCTTGGGAAAGGCACTTTACACCACTTTCCTCACTTAACTCAGGTAAAAATGAGTATATTGTCTATTGTCCTCTATATTGGTGGCTGCATAAAAATAAGTTGAAAACATGTGTGCTGTCACCATTTCCTGTGTTAAATGTTGAAATAAAAAAAATGTGAGTGGTTTTCGAAAGACTTTGGTCCAAACACAAATCTTAAACCTTTGAGTGAAAAAAATCAATAAAAAGGCTTTTGTAGTACTGGAATTAAGTCTTAACTGCATTCAGATGAACCTACGAGTGAGCTCATGAGCAAAATAATTGGACTATCCAATAGTTCTGGTAGTAATTGGCAATTCTGAAATCCAGAATGCGGTAGTCACGTTGCTTCCCACATGTGAGGTCGCCGCCCTTGTGAGTTCTCCACAACAAGCAGTTTTTCCGGAACCAAACTCTCCACGTCTGATTGGCACTGCAGCGAAAATCAGGTGCACGAGCCTTCAGCAAAAGGTCAACCGTGCGTCGACGGATGCATTTAAGGCTTAACCCTTTCCCGACCCGTGCCAGGATGGTTAGTTCCGGACTGAGGATGATGTAAGGGCAACACGCGACGGAGAATCTGACTTGACACGTCGCGTCCGCTGTGCTATTCAGAAATAAATGCCAGCGTTCTCAGCTTTACGTAACGGTTGTCCTAAACGTTTACCTAGTTGTCACGCAGTGTAATTATTAGTATCGTATTCCCTGTACCTCAGAGAGAGGGGGGAGGGACAGAGAGAGGGAGAGAAGGAGAGAGGCAGAAGGAGATAGAGGGGGAGACAGAGAGATAGTATTTAACACATTAAATAAAGAAATACAGACAATCTAACAGCGCACTCAAGAAACTCATAAAAAATTATATCACCGCCGTCATCAGAAAAAATAATTAAACAGTAAATAATACATTAACAATACAAATACATGCAAATCTGACTTGACACGTCGCGTCCTCAGAGCTACTCGGAAATAAATGCCAACGCTGTTTTTTACATAACGGTTTTCCTAAACGTTTACCTAGTTGCCACGCAGTGTTATATTCCTCTTTCCTGGAACTCAGAGAGAGAGAGAGAATGAGTTTTAAATGGGCATTATATTCGTGTGATTGTAATATTGCAATTTACTTTAACTTTTCAACATATTTGCTCAATTATTACACATTTCTGACACTTATGGTTGGCAATAAAATAACCCACACGAGGCACACTCATTTTGTAGCACCACCGCAAAATATCAAAATATAAACAAACCTGATACGTCTCACATTGGGAACCCGACTTCCTGTATGGCAATTGGAATTTGCAATGGAGTAGGGTCAGAAAATTTACTTTTTGTATCGTCCTGATGTTACAGAAAACATCTTGAAATCGAAAGATTGACATGAGTTTCTCTTTTCCAGGCTCTCACTGCCGGATGAACTCTAAGAACGACGTGATGCTGGGCCGGCGGAGGGTGGTGACGGTGTTCATGGCCCTCACGGCGTTCTTCGCGCTCTCCTGGCTCCCGTACTTCAGCCTGATGATCTGGCTCGACTTCCAGGAGGATCCCATGTCCAAGGTACACAATCCGCTGACAAAACGAGAAAATGTAATAAATTCCTGACACAATATTCCACCGACTTAATTTTATGGATGACATCGCGCGCACATTGATTTTCGCCTGTTCTAAAAAAAAATTGCCGATTCATAAATTCCGCAAAAAGCCAGCATGTGCCGGCTTGTCGTATACGTCGCTATGTACTTCCGCAAATTCCCAATACCAGCTTTGTATTCCTGTGGTTTTGTATCATTTTTATTTTTGGCCGAAATTTTTTATTCGCTCGCGCGCACTAGTTTGGGGGTCTTCAGAGGATGCCATCCATAAAATTAAGTCGGTGTGGCCTTAGCATCACCAACTATGTATGTATATTTTGCCATACGTTGTACCCGCTACATCTGTTGCGCACTTAAGTTATTCTATTCCATCCATCAAAGGTGGACGCTGGTGGGGTGTTCCCGTTCCTGCAGTGTCTGGGCATCGCGAACTCCGCCATAGACCCGGTCTGCTACTGCATCAGCGACCGGACCGTGCGCAAGTTCATCCGCTCGCTCCGGGAGTGCCACAACGCCGCCAAGGAATCGGCCGGGGCCCGCGCGGGCAGGCAGCTGCGGCCCGGCTCCTGCCGGAACGGACGCCCCGGGAAAGTCGGGCAGGAGTCGGTGAAGTCGTGCCGGGCTTCCCTGGGCGAGAACGGACGAGTCGTCACCATGTCAGTCAGCAACAACAGCCCGAAGAAGGGACAAGAAGTGTAGACGCGACAGACACAACGAAGAAGAAGACGAGAAGACGGGAAGATGACAGAACTGTTGCCAGGAAGAGATGGTCATATTTTTGCAGGGCGTCCCTGGGCGAAAACGGACGAAAACGGACGAGAAAGAACTGTCAGAAAGAGATGGTGATATCATTGATGCCGGGTTTTACTGGCCGAAACGGACGGGTTGTCACGATATCTGTCAGCAACAACAGCCCGAAAAAGGGAGAACAGGTGTAGACGCGACCAGAGTGTCTGAAACACGAAAGAACTGTCAGAAAGAGATTGCCAGAGAGAGTGATTTTGGTGGCAGGGTGTCCCTAGGCGAAAACGGGCGGGCTGTCACCATATCAGTGAGCAACAACAGCCCGAAGAAAGGAGAACAGGTGTAGACGCGACAGATGTGAAAGAAGTGCCAGAAAGAGATGATGAAGAAGGGACAAGAAATGTGGACAGGGCAGATGTGAAAGAACTGTCAGAAAGAGATGATGGTATGGGTACAGGGTGTCCCTGGGCGAAAACGGGCGGGTTGTCACCACGTCAGTCAGCAACAACAGTCCGACAAAAGGACAAGAAGAGTAGACACGACAGATGTGAAAGGACTGTTGTCAGAAAGAGATGATATCCTACTTTCATATTGAACGGTAGGATTCATTCTTATGAAACAAATACAATTCCTCTCTCAAGTGAGATAAGTTCAACCAGATGCTTATAAGTATCACTGAAAAGAGCAGGGAACATATCAACTACATTTGATATTTTCACACAGATCAAATTCCTAATATATCAAATCTTTTTGATCTATATGTACAGTAAGACATACCAAGGGGGTTAGATAGTATATTCCGACCTCCTTGAACATACATAAGCTCTGGAATAACACTTCTTTTCAAACAGAAGATGTCGATTCCTTCATGCCAGGGAGCTAACATACTAGGAAATCGTAATTTTAAAAAAAAAAACATAAAACGAAGAACAGCGAGCAGATTATTATTGGAATGAGCAGAGCACTTTGGACTAATGCCTCTGACCATTTACAGCTTAGAGGTACATATCCAATATTTTGTCAAAAACTTCTCTGTTACATGGCGGATCATAATGACCCCCAGTGGGGGTCTTCACGCTTCGTTAACAATTGAAAAATCTCAATATTTTAGACGAAATCTTGAGATCTTATGAGACAATATTGAGATTTTTATGACAATCTCCAGATCTTTCAGAAAATCTTGAGATGAAAACAAAAGGTCTTAAGATCTTTCCAAATGTTTTCAAAGTATCTTGAGATTTTTCCAAAGCATCTCGAGATGCTTTAAAAAATATCAAGATTGTTTAAAAGATCTCACGTTTTTTCAAGATTGCTTTAAAAATCTTGATATTTCTTAAAGCATCTCGAGATGCTATGGAAAAATCTCAAGATACTTTGAAAACATTTGGAAAGATCTTGAGACCTTTTGTTTTCATCTTAAGATTTTCTGAAAGATCTGGAGATTGTCATAAAAAATCTCAATATTGTCTCATAAGATCTCAAGATTTCGTCTAAAATATTGAGATTTTTCCATTTTTAACGAAGCGTGAAGACCCCTACTGGGGGTCATTATGATCCGCCATGTAACAGAGAAGTTTTTGACAAAATATCGGATATGTACCTCTAAGCTGTAAATGGTCAGAGGCATTAGTCCAAAGTGCTCTGCTCATTCCAATAATAATCTGCTCGCTGTTTCAGTCTTTTTGGCATTGACATACTTAAAAATCATAGCTTCCCCATACTCAAAGTAGGCTCTTACAAATCGTGGAAAGTTTTCAAGGGCACAGCACAGTAATAGGGCTTTCCTATGTTAATATATGGGAATTATGTCAAAACAACGTGGTCAACATTCATATACCTGAGTTTTAGACCTTGAAGAACATACATTGGCAGGGTAGGCCAACCTCTCAAGTCTCCATTCCCAAAAAATGACAAAATCCTACGCTCCGTTAACGTGTGCAATTGATGTCGCATAAGAATATCGGTGTAGCAAATTCTTAAACGACACGCTAGCTTCGAGTTTGGTGGTTTAATGTTTCCAGTAGACACTAGAAATATGATGGGTGACCTTTTTACCGTGACGGTCATGGCAAGTTGTTTTTAGATCGTATAGGGCAAGGGTTTGGTGGGAGACCGTTGAATAACGCCTGTCGCAAGTCCTAAAAACCGATAAACTGTTTCATTTACATGTTGAAAAGCTGGTTTTTAAGTCGAAATTTGGCGGTGATTTTTACTTAACCTTGAGACTAACATAAAACAAACAGAAATCTTTGTCCTAAAAGCTGCTATCTCACGCCAAGTTCCATTCTATGCCTGTCGCAAGTTTTAAACTTTGACTTACGTTACGAAGTCGGATGAATCTAAAATAGTCCCCCAAAAATGATTTCCCCAAATGTTTGAAATTTTTCCATCTGCCAACGTATGTGTTACATTACCAAGCATACAACAGAGGCAACCGATAACTGCTATCGGATAAATCACAGCTATGTTACTACATAGCATTTCGGCAGTTTTTCCAAAGGAGCTTACGTTACCATTATTCCTGCTCCAAATAGGAACAGTGGCCTGAGCTTGCCCCTCATAAGGAAGGGCGCAACC